CACCACCACTGTCAACCACCATCACTGTCGTCCACCACCACCCACACCCACCACCATCACTGTTGTCACCCATGATTATCACTACTATCATCATTACTCAAAACCCACCACCGTCATCATCATTGTCACCCACGGTTGCTACCACCACCACATTCATCGCCATACCCACCACAACCATCACCGTCTCCCACCACTACCACCGCTCACCCCACTATAATTGGTGCTTAAATTTCTTTATCACTCATCTATGTTTGTGGTTTGATTTTGATTGTGAATACAAATATGTTGTCCATTTTTTTTCATTACTCCATGCCTTCAAAGCACTGGAAATAATTAGGGATTGCAATGGACCGAAAAAAAAATAAGTAATTGTTTAAACTCATCCCGTTTGAACTGGAAATGAAGTATACATATTAGACGATTAATGTATACGAGAATATCCATATAAACTTGTGCGGGAATAGACTGAAACTCATCCCCTCCTCACGTCCGCCTTGCCACACTCCACTAAAATAATTAAGTGAAACACATATTTGTTATACATATTATTTTTGTAAGTTTTAATGTTTGATCCATTTGTTATATAATGAGTTATTATTTTTCTTGCAAATACATTTGTGAGATTTTATGGGTTTTTTTTTAATTTTTTCTTAAAATCATAAAAATTAATTGTTATATGCGGAGACGGAGATGTAAATCAAAATTTACCTACAGGGTGGGGATGTGACTTAAAAAATTTTCCCGGAGGTAAATGAATATTTTTGAAGGGGTACAGAAAGGAGACTACTTCCCCTTTCCCGCCTCCGTCCCAATCCACAATCATCCCTAGACAGTACAAATGTTGCTGTAGTAGCAAAAGAAAAAATATTGTGCAAAAAAAAATATTTAAAAACCACCATAGATTGATCCTTGATTCCAGAGTACAGTCTCCATTAAAACAAGTGTAAATAACTAGTAGTGAAACCCCTCATCGTCTTCTCACTGCTATGTAACATGACAAAGCAGCCATGGTCACTGTCATCACCCAAGAACTTACATCGTCAAAAATGGTGGAAAAACGCATCTCTTGCAAATACCAACAAGTCGAAACGCAGAACCACAGTCCATCAACGATGATCACCACCAAATTAGCCATCCTCCCCTACACCAAATGCACTTTACTTCAGAACATCACCATGAGAGAGAGAGAGAGAGAGAGAGAGTTTAAGTAGTAAGAAAAGTATGAAGAGGTATGAGGTGATGAAGAATGATGAGAACTTGTGCATATTGTGTGTAAAGTGTCCCTATAGGAATTAATAAACCGCTTCACCTTCACCCAATACAAAATCAACACAAAATTAGTGAATATATTGATCAATCGGACTTGTGAAAATGAAACACTATTAATGTTCACACGAAACAACTTATTTATTATTTTAGAGCACATAACAAGATAGGAATCACTGATTTAAGAGTTTTCTACTGTTACTTGTTGTACTTATGTTAGAGGAAGAACAAGAAAATATTGACTCGGTGGGAGTTAGAAGTGTGAGACAAAATTAAGATGCTTCGAGGATGTTTCCTTCTCATGATACGNTACTTGTTGTACTTATGTTAGAGGAAGAACAAGAAAATATTGACTCGGTGGGAGTTAGAAGTGTGAGACAAAATTAAGATGCTTCGAGGATGTTTCCTTCTCATGATACGGAGTGGGTCCCCAGTTTGATGGGCACAACAAACTCATTGCTTCATGATTTATTTCTTAGTCCTCATCATGTCTGTTCAAGAGCAAACAAATGTTGCATGAAAAAGTTAAAGAGGTGCCATGACCATGATGAAGAAGAAGAGGAGATAAATTATATAATTGTAAAACCCGATAAAAAAAAAATATTATTATTATTATTATTATTATTATTATTAAAATCCTAATAAAAAGGGTAAAATAATAATTAATTGTTAAATTATGGGTCAAAAACGTAAATTTTTTAAAAAATAATATATATATATATATATAAGTTTTATGTTTTCTACAGCCGGCGAGACAGAGAGAGTGAGAAAAAAAAATGAGTTTTTATTTTTTTTTCTCTTTTCTTCTTTCTCAGATCTAGGAAAATTTAACCGTTTAATCGCTTCGGGCTAAGAACTAAAGTTGATCTACTCAGCGAGAGCTACGCAACCACACCAAATATCGTATTTTTCTTCGAAGGAATATCAAAGCCGATAATTTAGGCCTAAAACTTAGGAAGCTAAATTTGGGCTTCCTTGACGTTCTAGTAAGTGNGTTCTTGTAAGTGGTCTCACGCTACGAGAGGTAGGGTTTCCCCTATTTAGATTTAATTTCAACTTAAAATATGGCATATAGAATGAGTAGATTATGAGTGTATATCACATGTTAGGTCTTGACTAGTGCGACTAGTGGATCAAATNGTAAGTGGTCTCACGCTACGAGAGGTAGGGTTTCCCCTATTTAGATTTAATTTCAACTTAAAATATGACATATGGAATGAGTAGATTATGAGTGTATATCACATGTTAGGTCTTGACTAGTGGGTCAAATATAGAATTTATAATTAATCTTGTGATTAATAAAATTCTATTGTGATTAACTTGGTGTAAGTTAATGTTAGTAGTTTAAAACATGTTAATTGTATGTTAACATTATTTTATATTTTAATGGAAGATCAAGTTTAATAAAATTATTAACTTGTTATATGATTGTGAAATAATATATATATGTTAAATGATTATTTAACATATGATTATTTTGGTGGACTTTGTGCTTATGTTAAACATGTTGTCATGTTGCAAGTCATAGCATGCTAGTTGTGTAAATTGATGTGCTCTTTAGGTGTTTGATTAAATGCCTAGGTGAATACAAGTATGTTAGTTGAGTTGATTATCTTACATAACATGCTTGAGATCGTGTTAAAATGTCATTATATTGTATTCATTATGTAATAGACATTGTATTTCATTATGCATGGGTTGCACTACATTCATGGGCTGCACTACATTCATGGACATTAACATGGGTGAGAGTGTATGCATGGTATGAAATCAATCACCACGTAGGTGGTTGAACGTGGACTCGGAAAAGTCGCACCAAGGTTCGGTTGAGTCGCACGAGAAATTAAATGGATAAATGTGTTGGGGACAGCACGAAGGGCTAGATTCTCCCTCGGGTGCAAGACCCGCTTACTTGGTTTATACACTTTCCGGCGGTGAAATTCCAAAAAAGTGTAACGGCGGAAACGGAGCCGCAGGTGGGATGTCCTGAAGATCCGTTGATGGTTGGTGTCCCATTGGTGTAATACCATAAATCATCTCCCCACAAAGACACAAGAAAATGAATTAATTAGCATTGAGTGTACATAACACCAATGATGGGGGCTTGGAATGCTCGGATACATACGCATGACATTGCATGTGTTATGGGAGCTCAGGATGGGGCTCGGGGTTGGTATTGCTTGCGTGAGTCTCATCTCATGGCATGACATGATCTATAACATTCAATCATAATAGACATATTTAAATGAATGTATCAAATGATCGTTGCATGTGACATTCCATATTCATTTAGGTTGAGAGGTATTCTCTATAGGAGTTACCCTATTGAGCGTTAGCTCACCCTTTATGGGAACATTTTTCAGGTATCGCACAGGCGTCCACCGAAGGCGAGGCCATGGGCCCGCTTTGACGACAGAGCCGGTCTGTGGCTTTTATTTTGACATTGTAGTCCCTTGTTTATACTAACTTTTGGTCTTGTATAATTTTTATAACAAACATTTGTTTAAATTTACAAAGGCATGTATATGAGACTTTTTTGGGACATTTATTCTTTTACGAATAAATGTATGTACTGATAATGATTATGGTAGTATTCGAGACTATACAATTGTGAATTGATAGATAGACCCGGTGTGATTAATATTGTACAGGTTGCGTTTTGAGTAGAGCTCCGTGTACAAAGGAGATNAATGGATAGATAGACCCGGTGTGGTTAATATTGTACAAGTTGCGTTTTGAGTAGAGCTCCTTGTACAAAGGAGACTCTGTCCAAATTTTGTTAAGTTATGGATCCCAAAAAATGGAGCATAACGGTGTAGTATCAAATTACACGATATCCACCAGTATTACACAGGTCGATGGATAATCAATCGGATAATTACAGACACTCGGACTTTGGGGTGTCACAATAATAGCATGTATATCATGTACTAACTATCGAGATCTTCTCTATTATACTTTCATTTAATGTTCGATTACTTATCATGGATTTAAATGAGACTCACTATTTATTAATTGGTCCTTCACTTGTACGTGATGGGTAATCGACGACAAAGTAAAATTAAGTGAAAATATAATATAGAGGTTTGGATCTCATATACTTTTACATTGTAACTTCAATCCTATCATATTCTTTTTTTTTTTTTTGGGTAACTACATACTTTTCCAAGTGATTTTTGGACTCGTTTCAGACATCTAGATATCTACAATCATTGCTAATTATAAGTATCCGTTAAATTCAAGAGTCACAAGTAAAAATCGAATCCAAAACATTCGAATTTATAATTTGCCCTACGTCTAACCCAACATCACTGGACTACCAGTGCGAATTTCAATCCTAGTATATTTCACCATTCCTGCACTTGGGTATCTCAGCAGCCTGCTGACCTACAAAGCCTTGATATTTCATGGATTTTTAATTGCTAAAGACACAAGATAGATAATGTATCTTTGCCTTTTGTGATTAACCCGAATGGTTTGACTAACCATTTAGATTACCAATCTTTGCTTCTTTCTTAATCCATTGAGGCAGAATCTTTTCAACAAAAAAAATCTCTCTATTAATGAAAATCTGTTGTTTTAGTTTCTTAATTGACTTTAGATCAGATCACTCTGATAGTGTCCAGAAAAAAAAATGATAATAAATTAGTTCAATAAATAATGTTCAAATAAATACAAACATCTACAAAAAATGAAACAGTGATGAGAAAAATAACTATAACTAGTTAAGAAATTGGGGGGCATTTCGAGAATCAAATTCGGGACCTCTCGCACCCAAAGCGAGAATCATACCACTAGACCAAATTCCCACCTACTGATACTTGGATGTTATTCAAATAATAACTTAGTTTAATAAGTAGGGCTAATCTCACTTTACACACCACCGAAAGATACTTCCATTTTTAATTTATACCCTCAAATATTAAAAATCTCAATTTTCACACTCAGTATTATAAATTAAAAGCAATGTGGAGTTAGTCTAAATTGCCGTTCAGTTTCCATCATATATTGAAGTACGTGAATTACAAGGAATTCGGACATGGACTTATGTGTAAATTCATAGGCTGTTAGCACTTCATGTGAATTGCATAAAGGTTAGCCTTTCTCTGATTAATGTAATTATTTTTTCAATAAATAAAACTGTCGTAAACAAAGATTTGCAGTGATGGACATACCTCATCCTCATGTTCGAAGCGCTTGTACTTCACGTGTTTTAATTTATGATGGAAAACAGAACGGCAATATGGGTCAGGTCCACATTACTACCAAAGCATAACATTGAAAGTGTAAATTCAGATTTTTAATATTTGAGGGTACAAATTAAAAATCAAAATACCATTCAAAGCGTAAAATAAGATTAATCCTAATAAGTTTGACTGGTTCAACATCTCTTTCCACATGTTGAGTCCTTTGGTACACAGCAAATGGCATCCTATGGGAAATTTTTGGCAGCTTTTGCATAGTTACATGTATCTTAGGAGGATCTTATATGATTTGCTAGAATGATCACTTTGATTAACTAGTGGATTTTGTTATAGAACTCACTCCAGATGTAAGATTTTCTTTGCTTTGATTTTAAAAATGCTTCTGCATATTAAATCCCTCTATACGGGGGCATTGCGAGAATTGGACTAGGGACCTCTCGTACCCAAAGCGAGAATCACTCTAATAGACCAGAGGCATTATATTTGTTAAGGTTCTTCCATCTTCAATGAGCTCTACGTGAGTGGGTGGGTGTGTGTATGCATAATAGCAGTAGCAAGGACACAAGGAGATAAGCAGTTCAATAATTTGAAAAGCCACTCTAATGAAATTTCTTGTTCATTTGATTTGTATTACTTAAAAAAAAGAAGATTACAGTTTGTTGAGAATACAATCGCACATGTCCTGAGCGAGACAAAAATTTGTCTCTTTATACACTAGGATAGGATGGTCTGTATTGTTATGATTACGTGGTTCCCCAAGTCGGTTAGAATATTTTCGAAATCCTTGGCTATTAAAGACAACTGCCATTAGGTGCGATAGCCCGGTTCCTTCCTTCCTCAGGGAGGGTTTACTAGTGAAATCCTTTCTTGCCCTTCCTATAGATCATGGGATCGCCTGACATATCTAATGGACCTCTGTTTTTTTTTTATTGGGCATTCCGGGCCTAACTAAGGTAAACCCTTCTGTCTCTCTTTTTTTACTACGCAAATTCTGTATAATTGCAGTCATGTATTGGCTTTTCAAGAAGGACGTAACAATACTTTTGGTATTGCGGGTGGAAAGGATTAGATGTACGAAGTCTTACCCCTGTAAATAGAGAGACTGTTTTTATGATTTGAACCAATAACCTTCAAATTACAATGAAACAACCTTATAATTTTTTTAAAAAGAGCTTATTATATGCATCTGTTTCAAAAGTTTTTCTTTGGGATTGACATTTTAGCCGTGTTGCTGGTGAGTGCATTTCATTTATGATGTGGTTTTCTTGGTGGCGTTGATAATAAAAAATTCACCAGTACTCATCCAAGATTTCGAGAATCAAACTTTGGGACCTCACGCACCCAAAAATTTGAATCATAACACTAGACGGTAGTGCCGATAATTATGTCCAACTTGTCGAGTTTATTTTTTTAAACGAGTATAAAAAATTATTTAAACTCGAATCATTTAGAAAATGAGTTAAGCCCGAATTAAGCTCAAAATGAGCCAAACCCAAGTAGTTCGACTAGTTTTTATACAAACAAATCGAGTTTTACGAGTTTGAATCGTGTCTTTTTAGACTCGTTTTTTAAACAAGTCTAAAATATTATTCAAACTCGACTAATTTAGAAAACAAATCAAGTTATATCCAAATTAAGCCNTTTTAGACTCGTTTTTTAAACAAGTCTAAAATATTATTCAAACTCGACTAATTTAGAAAACAAATCAAGTTATATCCAAATTAAGCCTGAATAGCCCGGCTTAATTATTAGTCCTACTAGACGAAGTGCCCTTGCATGTCTTTTTCTCTCTCTCTCTTTGGTCATAAAAAAGAAAAATGATGTTTGGTCTTTGCTTTGCTTAACCAAACCATAGGCTAAATGTTTAATAATTGAGATTATGATGCTAGACCCAGCTTCAATGTTATCTTATTTGTTCTAATAAAATAATTGCTCATGAAAATAAAAAATAAAAAAAAAAGAAAGAAAAGAAAAGAGACCAATTGGACGATGAGGTGGTTAATGATGAAATGAGGGAAATCAAAATCGTATAGGTCCACCATCTTTCTCAAAAGAAAACTATGGCCTTTTCAATTCCTTTAAGAAGAANTATAGGTCCACCATCTTTCTCAAAAGAAAACTATGGCCTTTTCAATTCCTTTAAGAAGAATCTAATTACTTTGGGAAAGAAAAATATTTATTTTCTCTTTTTTTTTAAAAAAAAAAAATGAACAATTCCTGATTTTTTTTTTTGGTTCAACTGTTAAGAGTATTCGAGCCAACTTACGCATCTGAATTTACAATTTATCCCTTTACCACCTCAACTACTCTTGAAATTTATGAGTCATGATTTTTTTTTAATTACATCACATATATTTTTTAATGGTGAATTTCNAATCTAATTACTTTGGGAAAGAAAAATATTTATTTTCTCTTTTTTTTTAAAAAAAAATGAACAATTCCTGATTTTTTTTTTGGTTCAACTGTTAAGAGTATCCGAGCCAACTTACGCATCTGAATTTACAATTTGTCCCTTTACCACTTCAATTACTCTTGAAATTTATGAGTCATGATTTTTTTTAATTACATCACATATATTTTTTAATGGTGAATTTGACCTATTCTTAAAGGGAAAGAAATATAGAACTCTTAAGCAATGGCTAAAACACTATTCGAGATAAAATTTAAAGGTGAATAACTTGTTAACAACTTGAATAAACCCGTTTTGTTTTAAAGGTAAATAGCTCGTTAACAACTCGAATAAATTCATTTTTATTTTAAGCAGCAAAAAAAAAAAGAAATCATTTCATTNTGGCTAAAACACTATTCGAGATAAAATTTAAAGGTGAATAACTTGTTAACAACTTGAATAAACCCGTTTTGTTTTAAAGGTAAATAGCTCGTTAACAACTCGAATAAATTCATTTTTATTTTAAGCAGCAAAAAAAAAAAAGAAATCATTTCATTTTATGTTATAATGTTCAAATGCATGAACAAAAAAGACGCCGCAAAAAAAGGTTTTCTTGTTGTGTACATCTATTTTTACCATTGGTCTAGACAGATCATTTTGACTATTGGATCAATGAATTTTGACAACCGGGTTGGTTATCATCAGCATCATGGCCCTCGATACAATTTACCATGCTACCTTGTGATACACCAGATATGGAACAATGTTGGACAGGTTATTCTGTTAATTTCCTTCTCATTTTTTCTTCTGACATATTGGGATGGAATTGCTTTAAGTTCGGACAAGATGATTCCAAAGTGACCATCCACATAATTATCTATACCCCTCTCCCTCAATGCACTGGCAATCCACAATTCTCTCTCTCTCACTCTCTCCCTCTCTCCCTCTCTCTCTCTCTCTCCCCTCCCCCCCCCACCCTCTATATCAATGATTAATAGAGAGGATGGAGAACAAAGGTGAGGAGAGAGAGAGAGAGAGATAGACAGATATAGAGAGAGGATTTTGGCAAGAGAGCAGCTGTAAGTGGCTTGGTCTCTCTGTCTTCTTTGCTCTTAAATTTGTTCTTTCAGTTTTGAGGGGAGAGTGGGAAGCGATGGCATTTGCAGGAACAACACAAAAGTGCACAGCCTGCAACAATACAGTGTATCTGGTTGATCGGTTGGCAGCCGACAACCGGGTTTTCCACAAGGCCTGCTTCCGGTGCCACCATTGCAGTGGTACCCTCAAGGTAAATTTGATATGCCTACAATTTTACCGACTAGTGAAAATTGGAAAAAAAAAAAAAAAAAAAAAGAACCTAAGCTCATGATCTTTTTGGTTCATCTTCTCTATTGTTTTATAATTTCAATAGAACATGATAATATCATATAGATTCTTTTTTAGATGCCAAAAAAACTCGTTTATGACCGCACGCTTTTGATTCAATGATGAAACAAGGGAGCGATGTGTGAACTTGTAAGTTCTCGATCCGAGTTTCATTAATAACTCATAAAATTAATATTTAACCATTTTACGTGGTTTGTCACTGATATATACTTTCATGATTCAACATTTGCGTTATAGACATGAATTCGAAGGATGCATAGTTGAAATGATTCTTTGATACAAAGAAAAACTTGAAAACTTAGACTAATTGCAAATTGATCTCAGTTTACTAGTGGTAAAGGAAAAATGTAGTTTTCCAGACGGCATTTTCTTAGGCTTTATATGTATATGCATGGTATTTGAGCATAATAAGATGTTGCATTAAACCTCTTTTTTAAAATTAGATTTTCTTGGATTTTTTGGATATTGATTGAAATGATCAAACCTTGTAATACTTGGGTCGTGGATCCTCTGTTGTTAAAAAATTAACAACGGAGGTGTTGTTGATTAAAACGGTGTTATTTTGTTAAATAGAACCATGTCATTTTACATCAAAACGATGTCGTTTTGCATCAAAAAGATGTTGTTTTGATCAATATCACTTATGCTATTATTTCTATAACAGCAAGGGAGTTGGACCCGTAATAAATGTTCATATTTCGGGGATAAAAAAAGGGGAAGAAGTAGTATGAATAAAAGAACAAATTCTAAATTTATTCCACTAATTGTTGTGGAAAGAAAAAAAAATTGTCATTTTCAAAGCCAACAATAAAGAGCTCTTATGTGTTTT